ACCATTTGGAACTCTTGGCTTAATAGCTTCCTTGTGAGCAGCAATCCTCTATCAAGAAAATCATGATAGGAAACACAAGCCCGGGAATATCGTATCAATTGGGAGATATATACTCCGTATGCAGGCGCTGCTGGAATGTTGCTACATAGAAATGGAAAGTTCACAATTGGGAAGCTGAAATCATCTCTTTTGTCGTGAAGTTTTGTTTTCAACCGACCCTCATTGTCAATTTCTAGATGTAAGTCAAGATATGAGACAGACTTAACTGTATCTGTAGTATCCTTTATCTCTAGTTCGATGGGATAGATTCGTTCAACATAGTCACCAAATTTTGTATTATTTAGTGAGAGAACATCATTTATATAGCGGAACGTAGAGTTAAAGGATATTGCTAACTTCTTATCTTTCTTTCTAAGAAGTTCCTGTATGAAGTCAGCCTCATAATAATAAAGAAACAAGTCGGCAAGAAGAGGGCACAATTGGAATTCCGACAGTCTGTTGAAAAACACGTCCTCCAAACGTAACAAATATGTTGTCAATCAAGAAATCAAGCATCTTGATAATGTCAGTTTCAAAGAATTTTTTGTTTGAATCAGAGTGATTCTTTACAAAGTAGGATTATTTATTTTGTATTTACATTGTATCATAGGTCAAATTTATTTGTTTAGTGTATGTTCAATGGTGTTAATATGTCCTTTGATTGAGTTAAGCTATTTCAGTTGATATTTTATAGTGTGTCTTTCTATGTTGTGATGTTACACTATTGTTTCAGAAAAAGGGTGAAGGTTTGGTACCATTAAAACGTTTAAACCCGCTGCATTTGTTTGCACCTGTCATAAGTCAGGAATCTGATATTCAGTAGTTGTCGTTTGTTGATGTGGTTCATAAGTGTTTCTCGTTTCTCGTTTTTTATATAGATTAGACCGTTGGTTTTCCCGTTTGAATGGTTTTACACTAGTAATTTTGGGGGCCTTTTATAGCTTACTGTTCGGTGTGAGCCAAGGCTCCGTGTTGAAGACCGTACTGTGACCTATAATGGTTTACTTTTATAAATTTTGACTTGGATGGAGAGTTGTCTCATTGGCACTCATACCACATCTTATATCTATTTATCCCTCCCCAAGACAAGATACTTGTATCTACGTTCGCCATTCTTTTTAATGAAACAAAGTAATACCAACTCTTTCAATTAGTCTTTTAGTTTGGAATGGGGAATACTTGTGTAAAGTGTAGAAGAGTCAAATGTTTTAATACTATTGCAAGATGAGAGAGTCTTAGATTGTATGTACTCTAAAAGATCTTTGGAATTATTTAGTATCCACATCTGATTCACGCCACCTCTAGAATAGGCGGTTTCACAATAACTTTGGAGCCCGGCTTTGATTGCTGATCAAATAGATGTTAATAATTTAGAAAGAGGTTTCGTGGAGCACTTGGAAGACCCAGCAATATACTGTTGTTTGTAAGGAAACTTATGTAGTTAAGGTATCCAATACAGTGATGGAAGATCCAGTTCTTCATCTTTGGTTGAAATTCCAAAGGAACATAGAACAGACCTATGATTATCCAGGATTTCCTCTTTGGTAAGTGTCGTGAGGGTATATGTTGAGTTTCCAAGTGAATTGTCAATACCTAATCCATTTATCAAGCAGTTTATGTAATGATATTTACACACAAAAACGATGTTGTTTGGGGCTTTATCTGCGGGGACAACAACATATCTGTCATGGAGGTAGGACGAGTGTTTTGCAACATTTGGGTCTTTAAAAATTGATGTAGTTTTGATAATTGCATGCTTATATTAGTGATTTCGAATCTGTTCAAAGTTTTTATTTTTCTTCCCTTTATACCACTTTGTCTCATAATCTCATTAAGAAAAAAATCACACATCTAATTAAATGGGCATTTAAAAAGTTAGAATGCGAATATATATATGTTCAAACTCTTTCAGGTCATTGTTTAGTAACAACAAACAAAAGAACTATGTCAATTGGACCTGCTTTGATGCGATAACTGCACTTGAATTTTTACAAGATAACATTTTGTGTTCGCTAGGGAGATTCCGTATATCGTCAAGTTATTGAAATTCCAATGGGGACTACTTGTGCACCACTAATTGCGGACCTGTTTCTGTATTGTTATGAGTTACAATCTATGACTAAATTAGCAAAGACCCATCGAAACAACATCTGATACAAACATTTAATAACACTTTTAGATATTTGGATGATATATTGGCTCTCAATAATGACGACTTCAGTATGTACACTAAAGAGATTTATCCTGCTGAATTGACTTTAAATAAAGCTAATGCTAACAATGAACACTGCCCTTTCTTGGATCTTGATATCTATATCTTTAACGGGAAGCTTAATACCAAGATTTACGATAAAAGAGATGATTTCTCATTTCCTATTGATAATTATCCATTTTTAGATTGTGACGTTTAGATTCCCTTGTCACCATCTTATGGTGTTTCTATACCTCATCTTGTTCGATTCGCTCGAGTATGTAACAACTTATTTGATTTTAACGAAAGAAATCTCTGTATTACTGAAAAACTATACACCAGGGTTTTCGATATCACAAACTAGTCAAAACATTACTAAATTTGATCATCGGTACAAGGACATCATTCGTAAATATAAATCAACATATTTCACATCCAATCTTTTATGGTAATAGTCTTTACAAAGCACAAACATGTCGTCATTCACCTCAAAAGCTAACCAAACCTTTAAACAGACTTATTCAGAAGGGATATAGTTACGATACTGTTGTCAGGTCATTAAAGATGGCATATTTTGGAATTAATATTGATTCACTCATAGGATCTTTGCATCGGAAATAAACATATTTATTCTAAAACCAGTTGTTGGCATGATACGGGTTATGTTCTTCTCATATATTGAATGATGGTATGGTACTAAACCCCTAAAGGGAGGGATTGTGCTTTGTTTATTCTACATCGGCTAGAAGTATAGGTGGAGGGTTGAGATCTCACAAAACATGTTTAACCCCGCCGCAATTTTGCGCCTGTCCCAAGTCGGGAGCCTCTGGCCTTTGTTAGTCTTGTATGTTTTTTTTTAATTTTAGTTCATTTATATGTTTCGGAGTTTAGTGTGGCCTACATTTTCACTGAACTAGTACACATTTTTGTTTATGGGCCAGCTGAAGCCCGCCTGCGGGATTTTCATGCTGTGTTGAAGAATCATTGGTGGCCTTGGGCTGTTTTCTGATCTTTGGTCGGGTTGTTGTCTCTTTGACACATTCCCGATTTCCATTCTCAATTTTATTTTATCGATTATACGTTACGGATTCGTAATAAATGTAACAAAAAAATCGTGCATAAAAGATTAAGTTTAGTATATGTACTTGCATTGGTTTAACAATTTCCTTACCATTATAATTTCAAGAAACTCGTTTCAAAGCGATGATTGAATTTAAAAAAATGATAATTTAATGACACTTAAAATTTAAAGGAGTTTAACCTTAATTGACGTTTTGGCAACCCAGACCAGAATTATAAACATTCTACATGCATTTTTACATTTAAGTGTGTATTAAACACTGCGGAGATAGTTGAGGGGGACTTGTTATATAGTGTAAAAAATATGATATGATTTCAGTGGTTGTGATTTCATTAGGGGTTTTTGTGAAGAAAGGGTGTTGTTTGGCAAATTAAATAAAGTTTAATAATAAGTGTTTGTTGGGTTTTTCCGAATTCCAGTCAACGTCAAATCCGTCAATGAAAAGAAACCAAGACTAGGAGAGAGATTATTAAAAGAGTGCTGTGAATGTTCTCATCTTACTAACACACAAAACGTAATATAATTTTATTGAAGTGGGTCGTAGATATTTACATATTTGCCCACCCCCACCCTCTGCAAAATCTTGGATCCGCATCTGCTGAGTTAGCAATAATTACTATATATAGCATAATTAATAGTAAATCATGTCACATATACAATATTGTGCCAATAAGACACAAAAAAGAGTTGCTACCAAAAAAAAATCCATCCATATAAACTCTCGGTAAAATCATCTCTCCCTTTCAAATGGTAAGGGTACGACCATTTGTTTTTTGGCATGGAGAGGTGGTGGGGAGGGGGGATAGGATGATGAGGCAAAAGCATATTTCCGGTCGGACTTTCTCACTTTTGTACACTCATATTACCTTCGTGTTGTTGTGCAGCATACTATTCATTTTCATCATTCTTGGGCTAGGTTTATTTCAGTTCAACCCCCCCCCCCCCCCCAACCCCCCCCCCCCCCCACCTCCAAACGATATATAGTAAATTTTATTTTGTTAGGTGAACTTGCGGATCCATAACATTTTAATGCCACGTTTTAACTTATTTGCTATAATTTTTATACATTAACCTATAAGAATATATAATATATTTATTGTAGATAAATACTACTTTTTTTATCTTCATCATCTTAAAGCAAATGAAAACGGTATTATCAAATAAGTCCTCGTTGAATTGTCTGAGGGCCAAATGTATGATATATACTGTACGGATATGAAACTTAAACTTGTAAAAATTATATGAATATTCAGAGCTTTTGTAAAACGTTAAACTGAAAAAGGCGGTTGATATTACGAATAATCATTTGCGACCAACAAATGAAAATGTATATTGAAATGTAATGTTCATCCAGAATATGTCAGAAAAAAAGTTCTCATCTTAAATCACAAACGAATGTAAACAAAAACCATTTCGTTTGCACAGTAATGCTTTGAAAATAAGCTAGACTTGCATTTTTTGTAATTCTAGCTAACCTTGAGTTGTAAAAGGTTTCTTAATACTTGTCGTTATTCAATGCCACCTTTCATACATGTACATACATATATTAGCAGCACACTTCACTTGTAATTATCAACAAATGTTTAATTTTAATCTAAATAACATCTTGGATCAAATGTATTTATATCCGGTTTGGATAGGCCATTGAAAAGGATTACTCATATTCATTTCTCTAATAGGTTTAAAATAGGAACGATAGTTAAACATTCTCCCTATCAACATTAAGATGTCGTTCGTTCAAACAAAGTTAAGTATATATTGCGTGTTTATTGTTACGGAATAACTTTAAACTTTAGAAATGTAAACTTTATACGGTCTAATACACAAACAAAATATTTAGTGACGGACTTTATACTTACTTCCTTGTTCACTTCACAGAAATGAAGGAAAGGAAATGTTGGGAATAGTTTTCTTACTGTGTCTGAACTTTTACATTTCTTCTGCAGGTAGGTTTATAATATTAATACTCTGTCGATATAAAGCATGAGCAATATATGAATGGTTAACAATGAAGGTTAATGATTATATGAATAAGGTTTATAATTGCCATATTATGTAATATGAAAATTTAGCGGCAGGTTTGTTCTTCGATTTTGATATTCAGTATCATACACTTATCAGCCTTTTTGATATTCCAAATATCAAGTCAAAAATAATTAAAAATAAAAGGGTGAGGTAGGCCTTTGTAACCCAAACATTTTCCTGTCTTTTTTTTTCCATATTCACTGCTGAAAGGGTCCATGTATCATATCTGCCAAAGTCTTTTGTTAAAATTCATATTTGCATTTTATGTTTATGGTATATTGAATATGACTTATTTTGGTGTGCCCTAAAAAAATGGTCGAAAATACTAGAAGGCATATAATATTGTGTGTTTTGCACATGTTCTAATTTGGAATACACACGAATGTGTAGTAGAAACATATTTGTAAGTAAATCTGAAATGTCATGGTAATATGTGTAGCCTAAGTGTAAATAAATGGTTTAAACTATTGAATCGGTCAAAAATTTTGACAAGATAGTGATGTGATTTCCGAGTATTATCACTCAATACTAATACTACTAATACAATGAAATGCTCCTAATTGTACTAACTTACCAAATATCCTCTGATATTGGTCCTTTTTACTTGCTCTGGCTATATCTGATGCGTTCGCATTCCCGCCAATACGCCAACTCTCGTTACCTGTCCTTTGGGTATTTCTAGGTTCTTTGATTTTGGCTTTGCTGGAGGCATTAATTGCGGCGACTCCCCATAACTTAAATATGGTCTTGGAGGGTACATATTTCTGTTTATTGTAGAAGAGTATGTTGGATTTGGTGTTTTCAAGGAATATACTGGTTCCCTAAATATTTCTGGTGAAGGTATTCTCCGACGGATTTCAGGTGTAGGTATTCTGCGTCGGATTTCAGGTGAAGGTATTCTGCGTCGGATTTCTGGTGAAGGTATTCTGCGTCGGATTTCTGGTGAAGGTATTCTGCGACGGATTTCTGGTGAAGGTATATTTGATTCTAGCCGTTGACGACGCCTTGAGACTGGAACTGGCTTTTCAAATCTAGGTTCGTGCTCGTTGGGCCCTTGCTGCCATCCCAATTGTTTTGTCTGCTGCTGTGTATTTTGGTTACGTAAATAATCACGCTTTTTTAATGTGCTCATTTGGGCCCTTGCTGCCATCCCAATTGTGATGTCTGCTGTAACAGTTGTGTATTTTGGTTACGTGAATAATCACGTTTTTTAATGTCTTGCTCAACATTTAATCTTGTACATGGTTTAATGTACTCTAATTCATCGGTTCTTTGAATGTTGTTTGGCTTAAACTGTCGATCACTTGAAAATTCTTGAACTTTATCCTGGTTTGTAGTAATGGTTATCTCTCATCAGGTCTTGACAATTTTGTTGAATACTGGTGGTCCCCATACTGCAAAGTGTAATTCAAAGGCTTGCTCATCGCTGAACTAGGACGTGATAACTCACGTTTGACTTCCTCAGGCTCAGGTTTAAGCAAACATTCATCAGAAGGTGTGTCAGAATCTGAAAAGTCATTGATTTCTGCTTCTCGTCTTGCATATTTCGATTGAAATCCAGATGTTTTAACTTCACCATAATCAAGATAGTCTTGTAAATCATAACTTGACTGAGTCCGTGATTTGTATTCTTGTTGCTGTGTAACTGGTGAAAAATCTATCAAATATATCAAGGCTTCAGTAATTCTTAGTCTTGGTATTTCAGAAAGATTCTCAGGCTGAATATTGCTAAATGTCTCTCTCATAGACATAATCTTGTCAGTTGTGACATTTCCAACACCAGGTAACAATAATAATTCTTCATAAGTACAGCTATTAATCTTTGTACGCTCCTTCTGAAAAGCTAAGTCTGCCATTATGTTATTATAACACAAATACAATTCAATTAAATCACTGGTTGCTGAGCCAGAAAAAAAATTAATGTGTATGTGCTATGTGGCTAACCACAGAAAAAACGGCTAATTTTTTTCTGAAATGGCTAATTTTTCTCTCCGAAATGGCTAATATGTCTAATTTCTTCACAAAACATGATTATCGAAAGTAAATTTGTAAACACTGTAATTAACGCAGGTTTTTATGCTTATATTATTTCCGTGTTCAAACACTTCATAATATACCAAATATAGCAATATGAACTTCGCAATTTCACGTGACGTACTCACTTCTGTTTCTCGATAAATTCGTCTTTTATCACAGAAAACCCTGCTCGCCAAGCGCCAGTGATGTGATTTCCGAGTATTATCACTCAATACTAATACTACTAATACAATGAAATGCTCCTAATTGTACTAACTTACCAAATATCCTCTGATATTGGTCCTTTTTACTTGCTCTGTCTATATCTCATGCGTTCGCATTCCCGCCAATACGCCAATTCTCGTTACCTGGTAACTATCTGAGATCTTATCCTGAGTTGGGTAGTTTACAATGGATCATACCGGGAACCGGGCTACGCGGTATATCTAACTACCGAAGGTCTACATAGTAATGTCACGTCCATTATATCATATTACACAACAATAGCATCAATTAATTATTTTTTCAAACTTATAAAAAATATCGTTTAATTCCTGCAAAAAAGCCGAAACAACTATTGTTTATTAAACCTTGAAAATCAAAAACTTGTATTGCATTTGACACGCTAGACTCAAGCTAGCAGCCACTCCGCTAGCAGCCAGTTTTCAGATATGTCTATGGACCCAAAAGTTGCATAAGATTCAAATTTACTAAAACGTTTTTATTTTATACTACTACCGTATAGCGGGTTATTTTCGCGGGGTGTTTATTTTCGCTTATTTTGGCGGATAAACGAAAATCGCGAAAATAAATTCCGCGAAAATTTATGCATAATTTGGGTAGTTTCCAAGTTAACATGGGTAAAGGATTTTGTAAACGATGTATTTTTTCCTGTCGGCAGGTCAATATCGGTATATGTTAGTTTTGACAAGATAAATGTCAAAGGGCATTGTACATAAATGTATTTTATAAAATGACTTCCAGGTGTGTATACCCTTAATAATAAGTGTCAATTAAAGGTACTCTTATCAGGTAATTACCCTTATTAATTAGTGTCAAACTATATAAGAGTTGTAAACACTCATGATAATTTTGTAACCTAATTAGTAAGTACATCAAAGGTCCGGTAAATTTTGTAACTAATCAATCGTAAAATTTACAAGACGTTTGAATACCTGTAACATATATCTAAGTTAGCGGTATTCTAATGATTAACTGTATCAGAATCTAATCAATAAATAAGGCGTCATTCAGATAAAAAAAGGTCAGTTAACCATAACAATTGACACTTGTTTGTCAAGTTTTACAACTTTTTAACTGTAAAAATTTCAGTGTCCACCAAAATATTTAATTGGGATTCAAGAATCCACCAAAATAAAAACCGCCAAAATTTTTCGTATACTTTGTTGCCCCTAAATCGCGAAATTTTACACCCGCGAAAATAACCCGCTATACGGTACTACAATATCTGTTTTAACTTCAATCTAGCCGTCGAAAACACTATTCAATGAATTTTGTAATTTCATTTCCTGTTCAATATTTTAAAAACAATAGTAAAAACTATGTGCTTTTAACTGCACGCTTTAAGACTTCACTTCATCTTTGAAAACACGGAAAAATGACATTATTTAAATTTTGGCCAAATTTTCTTGCTACATTGTATCGACTTTTCCATCAGAAAATTTTGTGCGATATTGTTTGAAATAGTTTTCCATATTCTCGGCATCCTGTAAAATAGTTCCTAAAAAGTAAAAATATTTCTACGCTACAAGAATACAAAGTTGCGTTCGTACTTTAATACTTTCATGTCAAACAAATCTGTTTAAGGTATTCATTCTTTTTCTGTAACAGTGGGTTTCGCTTAGTTTTGATGACACGCAGGGTTAATTTTTAGTAATCAAAGTATGGTATGCAAGGACATAACTTATAAGCCTTATTACCAATTTTTTTTTTTAAATCCGTGCTATACCCCACCTGGATTTTTCAGTCAAGCATGGCTTAGGGTCCCAACTTTTATTTGCACCTAGTGTGGAAAAAAGTCTTGCCTCAGAATTTTTTTTATTAACTTTGAAAGTTAGGGTGGGGTAGGGTGTCGGACCCCAACTTTGGATCAAATTTTTAAAAAATCCGTGCTATACTCCACCTGGATTTTCCAGTCCAGCATGCCTAAGGATCTCAACTTTCATTTGCACCTAGTGTGGAAAAAAGTATTGCCTCAGAATTTTTTTTTATTAACTTTGAAAGTTAGGGTGGGGTAGGGTGTCGGACCCCAACTTTTTTTTTTTCAAATTTGTGCTATACCCCACCTGGATTTTCCAGTCCAGCATGCCTAAGGATCTCAACTTTCATTTGCACCTAGTGTGGAAAAAAGTGTTGCCTCAGTTTGTTTTTTTTTTTATTAACTTTGAAAGTTAGGGTGGGGTAGGGTGTCGGACCCCAACTTTGGATCAAATTTTTAAAAAATTTGTGCTATACCCCACCTGGATTTTTCAGTCAAGCATGCCTAAGGGTCCCAACTTTCATTTGCACCTAGTGTGGAAAAAAGTATTGCCTCAGAATTTTCTTTTTTAACTTTGAAAGTTAGGGTGGGGTAGGGTGTTGGACCCCAACTTTAAATCAAATTTTTAAAAAATCCGTGCTATACTTCACCTGGATTTGTCAGTCAAGCATACCTAAGGGTCTAAACTTTTTTTTGCACCTAGTGTGGAAAAAAGTGTTGCCTCAGATTTTTTTTTATTAACTTTGAAAGTTAGGATGGGGTAGGGTGTCGGACCCCAACTTTGGATCAAATTTTTAAAAAATCCGTGCTATACCCCACCTGAATTTTTCAGACAAACATGCCTAAGGGTCCCAACTTTCATTTGCACCTAGTGTGGAAAAAATTATTGCCTAAGAGTTTTTCTTT